TTGCATTTGTGAGGCAAGTGCTGGAACCACTAGGCTAAATCCCTGGCTTAATGTCTTATTTTAACTTTGCAACTTTGTAAGTATTGTAAGTCACACGAAAGAATATTTGGATCTTGCCTCTTTTTTCTTTAAAACACTCAGCAGAATTTGTGTTTGTTTTGTTTAATGCTATGGAAGGAGCTTATTGATTGATCATGAGAAGACGCCTGTTTCTGTTTCTACCTGTTTTTATCCCTAAATGTTCTCAAGTTTTACATTTAAGATCATGGTTCATCTTGGCTTAGTTTTTGTGTAAGGTATGAAAATATGAGGTCAAGATCAATCCTTCCTCCTTCCTCCATAGACACCCAACAGCTTCAGCATCATTTGTTTAAAAGACTGGTTTTCTCCATTGAATTGTTTTTGCACCTTTGCCAAAAATCAGTTGGGCATATAGTGTGGATCTTATTCTGTGTTCTCGGTTCTCTTCCATTGTTCTATATATCTCTTCACCAGTACCACATAATATTGATTACTATAACTATGTAACAAGTTTTTAAATATGGTACATTGATTCCTGTCATTTTACTATTCAAAATTGTCTTAGCCATTGTCCTTTCTTTGCTTTTCCATTTCCATTTTATGATTTTTTTTCCCATTAAGTTTATTGGTACATTTAAAGCAAACAATACAGTTACATTCAGCATTGGGTCCATTTACATTTTAGAATATAATTTTGTCCACATCTACAAAAATGGTTACCATGTTGAATCTTTCAGTCTATGAACATGGTATATTTCTTTAAATCTTATTTAATTTTTTTATCAGTATTATATGGATTTTGGCATGTATGCTGTGTACAAGTTTTTGTTTTTTGTTTTTATTTTGTTTTTTTGGTGCTGGGAATCAAACTCTGGTCTTTGCACTTATGAAGCAAGTGGCAAAACCACTGCGCTAAATCCCTGGTCCCTCTATACAAGTTTTATTAAATTTATACTTTTCAATTTTTGAAAGCTTTATTTTATTTTTGTGATGCTGGGTATTAAATCTAGGGCCTTAAGCATCCTAGGCAGGTCCATCATCCCTGAGCAACACTGTTAGGCCCAACAGTCTTTCATTTTCTGTGCCCACATGCTTGTTGCTAGTACATACAAGTAAATTGATTTGTGTATTTTTATATTGTATCCTGAGACCTTGGAGTCCTAGGCAGTAGTTGTGTGTTTGTGTGTGTGCTGCAGATTTCTTTGGATTTTCCTTTTTTTTTTTTCAGCTTTGAGTTTATTGGTACATTTTAGGGATACAGTACAGTTACATTCATTGTTGGGATCTTGTACCTCTATGGATTTTCCTTTTTTAAAATAAAATTTATTTTAATAAACTCTATCGTATTTCCCCCTCACCCCCCATATACAAAAGCTTTGTTTCTATTTTTAACTTCTGTTTTCACTTTTTTTCTTGTCCCTTCCTTCCTCCCTTGTTCCCCTTCCCATTTGAACACTTTCTTCCCATTTCCCAACGTCCATTATACATTTTAGTCCTTATTTCCACTTTCACTTTCTCACACCAGAGAAACAATGTGGCATTTAAACATGTTTTTCCAGTGTATTTCACTTAAGAGTATGGTTTGTGGGCCAGGGGTTTAGCTCAGTGGTGCCGCTGCCTGCCTGGCAAGTGCAAGGTCCCAAGTTCAGTCCCCAGTTCCAAAAAAAAATTGTGTGGTTTAATGGTGCATCCATTTAGCCATAAATGTCTGAAGCTCATCCTTCTTTATGGCAGAGTCGTACGCCACTGAATTAAAAAGGCCACATCTTTATCTTAGGATTTTCTATGTTGACAAAATCTGAAAATGGGAGGCATTTGTTTTCTTCCTTTCATCTATACACCTTTTATGTTTCTTGCTTTATTGCCTGACTATAGTGATATAGGTATGGACATCCTTGCCTTGTTCCTAATCTTAGGAAGGAAAGCAATTAGTCTTTCAAAGCTAAGTATAACATTGGACATTGGTCTTCTGTTGATGCTCTTTATCAAGTTGAAAAACTTCCCTTCTATTATATTGATTGATTTCAAATTTGAATTACCTGAGCCTCTTTGGAATAGGCCTTACTGGGTTATATACTTTTTTTTTTTAATTGGTACTGGGGATTGAACTCAGGTTTTTGCACTTATAAGGCAGGTAGCAGCACCATTGAGCTAAATCCCCAGCCCTTGGTTCTATAGTTTTGTAGGTTGCTGAATTCCGTTTGTGTTTTATATTTAAGTCCATAATCCATTTTGAGTTAATTTTTGTATGAGATTTTTATATAGAAAGGAGAGCAGACCTGAAAAATCTTTAACAGCATATTGAAGATTCACTTTTCCATAATCTCATTGCATTATGTGTCAGTAATCCAAAAGTAATTATTTCTGTGTTATGGGGCACTTTTCAGCTAAAGCTCCCAGGCTCCTTTATAAATATTTATTACATAGTCACTCTACTTATCAGAATGAAAAGAACAGATGCTAAAGAACTCACATTATAGAATCCAATTCATATCCTTATTTTGTTTCTGTAGTTTTTTTTTTTTTGCTGTCCTCAGTTCATACTTTCTACTGTGAAAGAGCACTTGTATTTTTTAAATTGTAGCTATTAGTTTGACTAAATTAACATATTCATTGAATTAAAAAATCCCAGCAGATCTTCCGTGAGTTCCATATGTTTACTAAGCAAGCTACCAAGTAGCTGTTGGCTACGCAGGACCCAAACCTCAAGATGTTAAGAGCTTACAGGGGAGAAAGACAGCATAAGCAATTGAAATGCCAAATTTAGAGGAAGAAATGGCCAAGTAGGGAAAAGCCTAGATTATTAAAGGAACACAAGAAGGAGCACCCATTCTACCCGGGGGAGTTAGTGAAGGCCTTCCAGGAGAAGTGACATTTGAGCTGGAATAGAGGCATAGGAATTCACTAGATGGGTGAGGTAAGGTGAAAGACACTTTAGGAAGATGGTACAGGTTGTACAGAGATGTGCAGTCATAAAATTATGAAGTACATTTGGAGAATAATAAGTAATTTGTTGTGCATCTATAAATTCTGTAAGACCAGGAAATCATATTATAATCCATCTAGCATATTCCCTAGAGCAGTGATGGTGAACCTTTTAGGTCATTCAGTGATAGCAAACAGCCTGCTGAGCCACCACTGCCCTAGAGCGTAATAACCACTTAATAAATATTTGTTGGCTGAATAGATATAAGGATGCAAGGAAGGAAAGGAAGAAGGAAACATAAATGGGAGCAGTGAGTTAAAAAAGCCTGAGTGGTAAATATCTTTACTATTAGTATATTCAGAAAGAATAAAGTTTAGAAATTCCTGTAATGAGTTATAAAAGTGACACACAGTGAAAAGTACATTAAAATGTTATGAAGGTTTGGAGGAAGTAGAGATCAATTTCAGCAGAAGGGATCAGGAAAGCTAGCCATCATTGAGATGAAATATTTTGGGGTTGTTTACATTTAATTCTTCATTATCTAGATTTTTTTTTTAATGTGTGAAATTGACAAGGAGTTGTGGCAAAAGAGGTTTGGGATTCAACTGGACAGCCTTGCTTTCTCTGTCATAAATTTATCAGCATTTTGTAGGCAACCATTTATCTGCCTGCACTACTTCCTTAGATGGAGAACCTGACAGGCTCTGAAGTTATCTGTAGCAAACATAAGTTTTGTGTGTGTGTGTGTGTGTGTGTGTGTGTGTGTGTGTGTGTGTGCTTTAGAGTATCTGTATGTTTTATTTATGTGTACATCTGCACATCAATGATTTGGGGATGGCTCCTACCACAAAGACACATCAAATGGGGATACATCAAATGAAACACCAAACGAGCTAACAATATCTTTATAAAATGCACCTTGCTCCCCATACACATGCCCACACAAAAGTGTATGCAGAATTGGCAGACCGGTGGGGGTTAGGGAACTGTAAATAAATAGTATTTATTTTTATTTTCCTCACATCAGTTCTGTATGATTACACCTCAATTTTCATTTAAATGTGAGCCTTATTGGATACCCGTCATGGTCTCCCTTGACCTACGGTGTGCTGTAAGGACTTCATGTAACTAATACATATTAATTAATGGATATATTTATTGATCAGCTATATGTTAGGCACAATCCTAAACTCTTAAGTATGTTTGTTTGTTTTTTGTTTTTGATTTTTGAGACCAGGGTCTCACTATGTAGTTGAGACTGACCTGGAACTCCCTATGTAGCCCAGGCTGGTCTCGAACTCACAGCGATCCTCCTGCCTCAGCCTCCCGAGTGCTGGGATTACAGGTGTGCGCCACCACGCCAGGCTAAAAGCAAAGACTGTTTTTTTTTTGGTACCAGGGATCGAACTCCGGTCCTTGCGCTTGCAAGGCAGGTAGCAGAACCTCTGAGCTAAATCCCCAGCTTGGAATAAATAATAAAGAATCCCTTCATAAGACATAGTTGTAAACAAAACAAAAAATCCTGAAGTTAAATACTTCAGAGACTTATAGAAGAATTTCTCTTTGTGATTCTTCTAAAACATCATATTTTGGTAAAAAGCACATTGTAGGAAGTTAGGAAACTTATTTTTACGTTACTTATTTGTGACATTGTTTCTTTAACTCACCTTTTTTTTTTTTGAGGTCTCTATCTTTAATCAGATACATGTATTATGGTTTTGCAAGTTTTATATTGCCTAAAAGTACTATCAGTTTGGATCTATATTCGAGCATGAAAGGAGTAGTTGTTCTGAAGTGACCTTATCTAATTTCCTGACTTAAAAAGTAGGAATGGCACATTTTCATTTTCAGTGGAAAGTCTTAACTCACATCCTAAATTCATCCCCCATTTTTGAAACTTTGAGGAAATTTGAAAGGGGGACGTAGTTTATGAGCAGCCTACAGGTTTGGCAGTTTCCACTTTAACCTATGGTGTCTAAGGACCTGTTAAAAGGTTTGAAATAACTAATAGCATTTCTCCCATCTCCTTGCTCCTTCCTGGTGTGTGTAGGCCTGGAAGAAACGCTGGTTTATCCTGCGGAGTGGCCGGATGAGCGGTGACCCAGATGTGCTGGAGTATTACAAGAATGATCACTCCAAAAAGCCCCTGAGGATTATCAACCTGAACTTCTGTGAGCAGGTAGATGCAGGCCTCACCTTCAACAAGAAGGAGCTGCAGGATAGTTTTGTGTTTGATATTAAGACCAGCGAGCGAACCTTTTACCTGGTGGCTGAGACCAAAGAGGACATGAATAAGTGGGTCCAGAGCATCTGCCAGATCTGTGGCTTCAATCAGGCTGAAGAAACCACAGGTAAGAGAACAAACACAGACCTTTCCTAGAAGGGGCTGTAAGGAGAGGAGGCTTTAACTGAGCTTTCCCCTTTGGTGGGAGAAATAGGCAGAATGTAAATGGCCAAATAAAGAGAGACTTCTGGAGTGGATAATGCTCACATGGGAAACCAAGAAATGTTAGGGTTATGATGAGTTGAAAGCTATTGTGATGCTTATTCAAGTATCCCAACACTGCCTTTTCTTCTCTTCCTTTAGCTCTTTTAACACCCAGTGTTCTGCTACCTCTCAACCATAGGGAAGATCTCACCTTCATCCCTCCCTTGCTCTATCTTTGTCTCTCCTAGCCCATCTGTTTAGTTTGCTTGCCTTTTGTGTGGTATCCTTTGTGATTACTGATGTCTAATCCTATATTCCTTTATATTCACTTCAAGGGGGACACAGATGAGAAAATGAAATATTGATTTTTATGTTTGGGTTTGATGATTGTCACAAAAGAGTAGCTCAACTTTTTGAAATGAGTGTAAAGTTGCGGAAAGGACCCTTAACATTTGTTTGGGATTGTCTCCAACTCTCTGTGATGGCAGAGGAGCAAGTTTTTACTGAGGCAGAAAGACAGTCTAAATCAGTAATTTTCAAGCCTGATTGCACATCAGAGTGAAGGAGAAATATTTAAAAACATTGGTGATGAGGACCTGTGCCTGATGAATTAACTAGGAATCAGTAAGGGGCACACCTAGTTAGTAGTATCTTTTAGCTTTTTGGATTGTTTGTTTCTGTGATGCTGAGGCTTGAGTCCAGGGCTTTTGTTCCCAAGGCATTGCCCGTGCTAGGCAAGTGCTCTACCACTGAACTATATCCCCAGCCAAGCAGTGTTGTGTTTTAAATTTCATCCTGAGTTAGGCATGGTGGCAATCGCATATAGTCCCAGAACTCTGGAAAGCTAAAGCAGGAAGATTGCAAATTTGAGCCGAGCCTGAGTGCTTTAGTTGACTCTAGCTCAAAATAAAGAAAAATATTAAAGGGGGTGAGGTTGGGAAGTAGTTCAGTTTAAAAGCCCTGGTTTCCCCATGCACAGGAAATACTACCAATTAACAAATGGTTATTTGTTATTAACATATCAAATTAAAAAGCTTTTGCACAGCAAAAGAAGCAACCAACAGAGTGAAGAGACAACCTACAGAATGGGAAAATATTTTTGCCAGCTGTTCCTCAGAGGACTAATATACTTAGGATATATAAAGAATTCAAAAAAGCCAGACCCCCCCCAATAAAACACACAGTCAAAAAATGGGCAAATGAAATGAATAGAACTTTATCAGAAGAAAAAAATGGCAAAGTATAAATACATGAAGAAATGTTCTACATCACTGGCCACTAAAGAAATTCAAATTAAAACAAAATTGAGGGGCTGGGGATTGAACTCATTGGCACTGTACCTGCCTCGCAAGCACAAGGTTGTGAGTTTGAACCCTGGTACCAAAAAAATTTCCATTTTACCCCAAGAATTGGTCATGGTAGCACACAACTATAATCCTAGCACTTAGGGGACTGAGGCAGGAAGGTTGCCACAAGTTTGAGGCCAGCCTGGGCTACAGAGTAAGTTCAAGGCCAGGATGGAATACATAGCAGGACACTATCTCCAAAAGGTAGATGTGTATCTATGTAGATATGTCTGTCTATAGAGAGAGGAATACGAAGACACAAAACACAAATCCAGTTCTTAAAATTATTGTACTCATTTAAATTTACTCTAACAGATCTTTTGTAAATGGGAAGAGAACCAAGAGATGGAGGGAGTTGGGGAGAAGGGGGAGTAGAAGTGAAAAGAATTCAGATGTGTTGTGTACACATGCCAACTCCCCACAAGGAATCTAATCATTATGTACTGCAAATATAAACTAATAAAACTAGAAAAGTTTATTCTGAGTAGCAAGGGTCCAGGGCTCAACAACCATTTCTTATGAATATTTATAATACTGATATATATCTGAAGGTCAGATCTAGACTGTTTGAATTTCACTCTTGTCTTTATTCTGTTCAGAATTCAACCCAATGTAGGGTCAGGTCTCCAAGTCTCCTCCAGTCTGTGACTGCATCTTAGTTTCTCCTGTAATAATCCAAATCAACCTGACTCTTTCTATGGTTTATCGTTCAGGAGACTAGAACAGAATAAATTTCTTATCAAAAGTAGTTTAGGGACAGGGATTTAGCTCAGTGGCGCCACGCCTGCTTGGAAAGCACAAGGTTCTGAGTTTGATCCCTGGTACCAAAAAAAAAGTAGTTTGTTTGTTTACAAAACTATAAATCAGTCAAAATTTCTACCAGATGAATTAAATAGCACAAGGCCCCTCTTCTATAAGATTTGTACTGTTTCAGATATACTGTCACTTTAAAAAAAAAACTTGTAGGCCCGGCATGGTGGCACACGCCTGTAATCCCAGCACTCAGGAGGCTGAGGCAAAAGAATTGCTGTGGGTTCAAGACCAGCCTGGGCTATATAGTGAGTTCCAGGTCAGTCTCAACTACATAGTGAGACCCTGTCTCAAAAAAACAAAAGAAACAAACAAAACTTGTAAAAGCAAAACTAATAATTACCATTTTTTTCCTACAAAATAAATGTAATTTATACAGGCCTGGAAGTAATTCAAAGATGCAAATTCCTCATGTAAAATCAAAGAGAAAGATATTCAGAAGTGGACATTGTTTTCCAGTAAGTGATACCTAGATATAATAAATGGGCGATAATTTAAGTTCATAACTACTAAGTCACTATAAAGTCAATTACATTCTGTACCATGTTAGAAAAGATATAAGGAAATGCTCACATCACTGAGTTGACCAAAATCAACATTTTATCATTTATTTTGTGGTCCTAAACTATTACCATTTGAGCTTGATATGTTAACAATTTAAATGCCTAAGTACGCTAAATATCAAGCACCTGTTAGAACTTGAAACTAAAACATCTTAATGCTAAAAGTATATAAGATATTTAGGTTCTGCTTCATTGGTTGTCAAAACAGCAACTGCTCATACCAAACTAATTAAATATAAATACTGTACCAGATCCTCTCAAGGAAACAAGAAAATAATATGTAAGATTTCACAATTGTTATTCTATAATTTAAAAGAATTTAAAACCAGAAGTTAAAAATATATCACTCGTGGTACTATCCTTGGATGGTTATAGTTCAATATATAATTAGGAATGTCTTTGTTTAGAAGACTGGAAAAGTGTTCATAGAATAAACAGTACTGTGTTCTTGACTGCTCTGCCATAAGTCAAAAAAACACACCTGTGTTCTGTGGTCATGGTAAGAGGACATGGCAAATTTTGTTTTGTTCTGTTTTGTTTTTTTGAGACAGGGTATCACTATGTTATATAGTCCAGGCTGGCCTTGATCTTGCTGTGATCCTCCTTTCTCAACCTCCTGACTACTTGTATTACAGGCATGTACCACCATACCCAGCAGAAAATGGCCATTTTGAGAAAGGAGTACTTCTAAAGCGTTTTCTTATAGGCAACAAAGATATAATATGGTGTGTGATTCCTACAGCCAAACTTCTGCTTAGGTAGAGGTACATATTTCCAGGGCCATTTTCCTTCTGTCACTATGCTGGCTTCCATATTTTATGGTCCATTGTAATCTTGTGGCCTTCTGTTGAGTAGGCAGACTTCTTAGGTACTGGCTGTCATAATGGCTGTGTTCAGACTTTTGTCTTACCAGATGAATTATTAGACCACTGTAAAGAGCCTCATAACTGTTTTGTTTTGTTTTGTTTGAGGCAGGATCTTGCTATGCAGTTCATACTGGTCTTGCACTCACTCTGTAGCCCAGGCTGGCCTCAGACTTGCAGCGATCCCCCTGTCTCAGCCTCCTGAGTGCAGTGATTACAGGTGTGTGCCAGCATGCCCAGCTCAACCCTGACTTCTTAAAAAACCAAAAGCAGTATCTGAAAGAAAAAAAAATCTGTATTCTGTTCCCTTTCCCATAGTCTTGTTTGAAGAACTTCATGTGGCTATGCCATAGTTTGCGTAAGTTTTGGGAGTGGCAGCAGGCAGCAGCATCCTCACAAAATCTAATGTTTCTTTCACATTTTTCATTTGCCATCATAGGAGCAGAGTATATTCCAGAGTATTTGCTTTTTATTTTCATAAATAAAAATAGGTAACAGTATCTGATATGCAAACATACAAAGCAGACACATGCCTATAAAGTCTTTTTCTACTTCATTTCACCAACACATTGAAAAGTGCCCATTTGCCTTCCCTGTGGCTCCTTGTACAGTATCAAGCTGTAACAATCTTTATAAGCCAAATGGGGTTGGCTGGTTTGGGTGTTTTTTTGTTTGTTTTGTTTTTTTGAGACAGGGTTTCTCTGTGCATTTCAGGCTGGTCTTGAACTCACTTTGTAGCCTAGGCTGACCTGAGTCTCACAGCAATCCTCAAACTTCAACCGTCTGAGTGCTGGGATTACAGGTGTGTGCCACCACCCCCAGCCTATTAAGACAAGATTTACATTAGCCCATATTTCAGCAGGAGTTGACCTGCAGGTGGGGAGCATGAGATGACACAATCTTACTCTTTTCTTCCTCTTTTATGGGAAGAAATGCACTGTAAATGGTTGCCACTGCAGAAGAACTCATGTTTTTCTGAGTAGAATCAGGATCAAATTCATGATTCATCTTTTCCTTCCATTTTGCGTAGTAGCAAGGTATATTGCCAAAAACTGGGGCACAGTCCTCTGTATCCTCCTCTTACCAACTTTGTCTTTAGGCAGTGGAGAGCTCTAGGAGATACTATTCAGTGGACACTAGCTCTAGCTGTGGTGTTCAGCTGAATTTCAGAGGTAGAAAGCATCACAGAGGATGGCTACAGCTTCCAGTGAACATGTCAGAATAGCTCCCACTGTACCACCACATCCCCCAGTGAACAGATGCACCATTGTGTTCCTCTGGCTCATTTTCTCTCCCTTCTGCCCTCCAGGCTCTGAGGCCTGAGGTGAACCCAGCTGTCCA